AAATAGTTTTATGAATTTTTGGATATATTTTTTAAGATGTTTAGATTTGCTCTTCAACTTAGTAGGTTAAACATGACGAATGGTTTTATCAAAGGTTCAAGTGGTCTGTGATGCCATTTTCGACTGGTTTACACATTCATGTTCTTAACAAACACACTTTATAAAATAGGGATAACGTTTTATTCGATTGTTGGACAAACCTTCTGATTAAATTACAATTCAGCTTCGTTTCCTATGAGTTTCTTTATAGATGCACCAATGTTAACCGATATTTAAGCCCAGCCTGTTAAGTGTTTGGTGTTTAAGTTTGAAACATCTCCCACACATTCCAACAAATATGTACGTTTAAAATTTTAATGGAAATATATCTTATTTTTTACGAAAAATAATTACAGTGAAGGACATCCAAAACCAGATCACCGCTTCTGAAATCGGTATTGGTGTTGACACAATTAAAATATTATTGCTCCGAGTGATAATTCCTTTTTTTTTTTTTTTATATAAACGAAAACGTTTGTTGGACAAAATTACACGGAAAAAAACATGTGATAATTTTAAATGCATAATTGTCAATGCAAAACCCATCAATATATCCTAAGAAATATTTCTGTAAGTCTAGTATTACCAATATATATTAATAAATATTATATTTCCTAATGTAAACCTAGCAGTATCTATGGTGAATTTAATATTGCCTAGAAATAAACTAGTAGTCCCTACCACGATTGGGTTTTTAAGAATTTATAATTCCTTATAATAAATATAGTATTTTAAAAAATAGATATAATAATTCAGGTAGCCAATAAAATATACTTAGTTGCCCCTATGTATCAAAGCATTTTATTTAATACATAAATTTGATATGATACACCTTTTTTTTTTCATTGCATTTAAAATCACGTGGTTTCTTCAATGATCTATTTTTAGTTTCGTTAAGACAATGTTTTAACAATGCTCTTAACGCCGTAGCTTGTTTAGCATTTGCTTTGTTCTCGTCCTAATGTGATAATTAAATTTAGAAATTATCTTGACGTATTTAACGTAATGGGATTTATAAACGAGATGACGGAATTGGAGGGTTATAAAAGTTCGGAATCAGAAGTACCAGCTGTTTAATTGGAAATGAGGTATACATTTATATATCAAAAGGTCACGTTAAATATTCTGTACATTCTTCAGTGTTGTAGTTTAGGTATTTCTATAATTTCCTATAATGGCTATTAATCTACCAGGTGGTCACGATTCAGGTAGAAAATTACACTAAAACTGGTTGTTTATAACAGAGAAGGAAAAACAGTGCCTAGTTATAAGGTTATTCGGATGTGAACATCTGGACGGGAACGGGGTGATGGATAATGGAACATGGTATTCCATAGTTAACATACCGTGGTTCTATATAAGGCGCACAAGGCAAATTATTTATGCCGTTAGATCCAATTAATATTACATTAACTTGAGCAGCTAATCAATGTAATATCTAAGACTAAAATGAACAATATCTTAATTAAATTGTTATAACAAAACAATTAATAAAAAAAAGACATGTATGATTATTATGTTTTAATGAAAAGTCTAGTTGTATTCAGAAAATTTCAAAACCGGTCGTTTAACAATTAATTGTGTTAAACAAATCGACACATTATGTATCGACTCACACTAGTAAACGAAGTAATTCCAAATCGCACAAAGTCAGATTGATCATGCGCATAACTAATGAAAATCTCAATCTGTCAAACTCATATGTCAAAAATCTAGATTTTAAAGGAGTAGTTATTGATTTGGTTATACATAAAATGATGAGCAGAAAAAATAGATAAATAAAGAAATTAATGAATAAATAAGATAAAATCGATATTTCGACAGACCTTGCAGCGATCAAAACAATTTATGTCCTCCACTGAACATCATTGTAAGAGGTGAACTAATCTAACTCTTGATGGCCCTTTAACAGGTCGTTTTCGATAATACGTATTTACTTTAGCGATAATCCTAAATTAAAACATGTTTGCGGTATACAAATGGTTTTCGTTTACATTGAAAGCATGTAAAACATAGTTTTCTCCATGGTGTGTGCTGTCAATCCACATAATAATTCTTAACATCGAAAAATTTGGAAAGATATTAATTTATTAGAAATATGCTAAGCTTTAAATCTCCATTGCCGCTGAAGTAATTCTTGTGTTGAAGTTTACCATTATTTAACAATTAACGTTACATCCTGTGGGAACACGAACTATTATTTTAGGTAACAGTTACAAAAGTGAAGAAACAATTCTTTAAACTTATTTTTCTCAATAATTAAATGTTTACAATTTGTATAGATTAAAATATGACAATCATGTTTGCGTAATTACTAACAAACAATTCTTTATTCATTTTATCATTTTCTTTTGTATTTTCATGGAACCTCTTTATAACGGGATGTTTTGTTTGAAATAAGACAAATATTTACCATGCATACGCAGATTACATTCATTTTGGACGTAGGTACTTTTTATTTAAACTAGTATCTCTAGATTCAATTAATTCTTTCAATTTATTGATAAATTTATCAATTTGTTCCTTTCTCAAGTGCGATATATATCAAACAAACAAGGCGAGCTTACATCAAACAAGAAACTTTAGTCCTAAAGTGCTAATATAACGCCATAAAACACAGGTATGTTCGTGGTTGCAATAAATAGGAATAGAATAGTTATGTAATAGCTTACCATCTGTTTTTAGAAAGTCAAATAACCTGGCCATTATCAAGAAGGACATAAAAACTAACTTCTTCACATCTGCATTTTAGGCTCATTGCACAGACGTCATGTACATACCACCCTTTAATTATTCATTTATGTGTACATTGAGATGATTATCTTCTTGCTTAATGAATAATGGTGATTGTAAGCGTTTTTTGTGTTTAACAATGATAACTAATGCTAATATTCATTTGATGTAAAGCGCTTTAGAGTAACTTTACATATACTATAGGGCGCTATATAAATGTTTTATATCATTATCATTATTTTAGGAGTACAGTCGCAAACACCACAGAAGAACTAACGATTAAGATAATGTCATTGTAAAAACATTGCATAACGATCATGAATGACAAATATATTTTAATTCATGACGGATGTCATGATGTTTTAGTAAAAAATATTGGAAATTGTATTGACAACAGTGCTCCATATTGTTAGAAAAAGGAAGATTATTATCTGTCTTGGAAAAATAATTTAAAAACACGATTTGTCCAAGAAATATAAAACGACACCTGCTTGAGATTTTCCAGTAAAAGTTTGTTTCAATATTGAAACATTTTAGATGGCGTAAGGTATATACTGCATCGACGAATAAAACTATTGTGGTTTCTTTGACATTGAATGCATCTTCAATAGCTATTTGAATATATCTGTATCTGTAATATTCTCCTGAGTGATTGAGTAAAAAAATTGTTTTCTGTCTTCGGAAACGTGAAGAAAGTTAAAGTGTATAAATGATTTGAGAACAGATATCTGGTAGAATCTTACATTTGGTGCCGGGAATGATCAGCTTTCTGTAGCACTTGGATACATTTTTGTTATTTGTTATTTTGTGTTGCGTTAAGATGTCATCCTTTGGTTCCTGTAGTTTTCTTTTCATTTCGACTTTGACGTAACGTTGACGCCGTGGTATATTTTTCCAGCAAAAAAAGCTGAGACAAAAAATATCATTGCTCGTCCATTTTGATATAAAGAATGTCGGTTAATTGGTACAGTAATATACTACTTTTTTTAAATTGAAATTAAATTATTTTTAATAAAGAGGCCATGACATTGTTCGTTGAGCTTAATGATACCAATTTCCAGTCATTGTATCTCAGTCCAGATTTTGATCGTTTACTTTTGTCTTGTGATGACGTTATGGTAATTAGTAGCAATGTACTTACTCTATTGTTTATCATGGTGAGGAACACGCCTTGTATCCGGTGGTGTACAACATTTATGATGCTCTTGTTTGATACGAAAGGTTTAATAGCAGAATAAATATCGTCGCACTTTAAAAGTGTTTTGTTTTCTGTTAATATTTTCTCTGCTTTACGACAGTCACTAACAGTCCAATGTATGTACTTCAATTTGCTATCATGATGTGTACAATAATTTTTTTACATTTTAAAGATACATTTGTAAATTGTATCAAAATATTTGTTTCCCAGATTTTCATATTTGTTTTTTTTTTACTTCACACTTTCTGTGAGCTCCAGACGTCGACATATTGTAATAATTCAACGAGCGTTCCAGGTGGTTGTATCGTTTTCTGCATGTCTGTTCTTTACTGTGCAATCATCCTTTCATTCTCATCCAGCGGTACTCATGCCAGCTTTGACACACGGAACAGTGATCCGAGCTTAAGTCGTATTTACCTATATATATATATGTATCATACTGCTTTCAGTCCTTTAAGTGACAAGTACAGGTACCAGTAACGTACAACTTAACTGGCGCAACATTGCCAGATTAACGCTCAAATACTGGAAAACAACTGTGCTAGTTTCAGGGTACTGGCGTGGTCGTCCTAGTGTTGGTTTTATGATTTAGAATACGTAGTATTTGTTATTCTTAACAATCTGTCACTTGGTAATGTCCAGTCTTAAATTGGTGACTTGGTCAGACACAAACTGTTACTACAGAACGAGCAGAGAAGCGCTTGTCTATTCCCTTATCTTATTAAGGGAAACTTATCTCTACAGGGTGATGCGAACGAACAACATCAAACGGCTAAAAACTGTGGGGTTTTTAAAATTTACATTTATGTGTTAATAAGTATTTCGCGCCTGCAATTTCAATTAAAACTCTATAACATTTTTTCGCTGTTAGTATAGATCAGTTCACAGGGATACTTTCACAGCGTCAAAGAGCAAGTGTTTAATGTATGCACTAGCGATTAAACAGTTTTATCACCGGAGTTAAATATCTTCGTTATCGTGGTATGTACTGTTCCACTTTTGAAAAAAAAACCATGCAAATTATCTTTTATGAACTTTATTTTAAATGACTTATTAATTGATGATTTATCTGAAAGAAAGGATAAACGTGAATGCATCCATTGAAAACATTTAATTATCACAAAATACAAGCTCTAATTATAAAGTGAATAGAATAATTTGAAAATAGCATATTTCCTTTATCATGTAGCGAGTTGACATCCTATATTTATCTGCGTTGATTTAGTGACAATAAATCAGTTTAATGTCTATAGTTCATGAGGTATTTTATGTAGGTATGTTTAAGGTAAATTTGTAAAAGATTTTAGGAATGCGATGAATGGATTCTAGAGTTGTACCTGGCGAAATAACAGAACATAGAGTATTTTTGCTCCATTTTATTATCATAACAATCACGTCCATTAAATTTTTCAATCGAGTCGTGTAATAAGCAATAACTTTTCAGTTTTTCTTTGTTTATTTTATAAAACACATTAGTTGATGGAAACTGTCCTGCAGTAATGATATACACAAACAAGCACAAATCTATATAAATAATAATAATGAAATAACATTAAATAAAATTTCATATACACATGTGTATATTTAAAGCACTGTCGATGCACCAGAATTGTAACAATGTAATGGATTATGTACTTGAACACATCAACATGTTAGTAGGAGCTTTTCAGCTATAAGCATTTCTAATTTTTGAGTCATTATTAATCACATTGGAAATATTGATTCATGTAGACTATACAAAAAATAAAGAGATTCAAATAAATTACTCTCAGATTTGCTTCCGTTTACACGTTTAATCAAGATATCCAAATGATCTTATAAAAAAATCAATGGTAAATTGTTCTTAAAATTGTTCAATGTTTGTTGCTTTGTGATTTCAAATTTTACACACGCTCGACTGGAAGTGTCACGTAATCCACATGAGAGCGACCCGGATGTATCTATCCAGATCCGGATGTAATAGTGGATATCTGTTGTAGAAGGACCGGTATGACCTTCTGTAGCTGGGCGACGTCGGACTGTGTCTTGTTCATGGACGCCTGTACCTGCGCCTCAAACTGCTGCACTGCCGTTTGCAGGGCGGCGCTAGAGAGTGTCGTGTTACCGGAGATGGACGGCGCAGCTGTCAAAGTTTTCAAGTCGGTGGTCAGTTGTAGAAGGTCAGAAGACTGGGATGTTACCTAAAATTAAAACAAATGTTTTAAACAAGTTAGAAAGATGTTTTGGCGTTAGTAAACCTATGTTGTTTTCCTTCGGCGAAAACTAGCTAAACTGCACGGTGCATGACGAAACAGAAATAGGCAAAACAATTGATTCAGCTTGGAAAACCTAAAATTTGATTTTTGTCTCATGCTTAGAAGTGAGTCAGGTTTTCAAAAGGTTCTCTTTTTTCAAAAGCTAAAGAAAAAGGAAGCTACATGATTTTACTAGCATACGTATGTAAAACAACTGATAATATCATATATATCTCCATACTGGCACCCTATAAAAACTGTGTTAACCCGAAATGATATAACCATAACACAATCACATAACGGTACACAGAGTTGTGATAACTTACCTGACTTTCAAGCTTGGTAAGCTGTTTAGCTAGCAGACCTGCCTGGGTGGTGATACTAACGACCTTCCCGTGGTCAGTTATAAAGTTGACGTTGTTGGTCATAAGTTGTGCTCCCAGCTGCTGGAGCTCCTTCTCCACCTTGGTGACATTGATCTGGAGTGCAGCAACCTCTTGTGCAACCACTGTCATCTGGGGTTCAATTTTCTTTTTCAGAGTGTCTAGATCTGTCTTGACCCCAGTGACCTTCAACTCTGCATTCAGAATACGTGCCATGGCGCCCTGAGTGGCGAGTTTGATGGTGCTGATTTCATTACTCTGGTTTGCCACTTGTCCAAGAATCTGCATAAAATTGTTCATTTGTATATTACAACATGACATTTGATAATTGAAACAAGATCTCTTGTACAACATGAACGAAAAATCTCAACAATACTATGGTATTAACCTTCTTTTCTTTTGAAATTAATAGCAATTAAGTTAATGCCATTAAGTAAAGAAGGAATGAATAGTATTTTTTATATATTCAATATCCTATTTATGGCAAAATTATTCCTTGAACATCACAGTACTTACCTGGTTGGTCTTTGTGTCAAGGCTCTGGAACTGAGTGGTCTGCAGTTGGTTTTGCTGCTGAACGTCTTTTTCCAATTGCTGGTACTGTTGCTTCAGCTGCGAAATTTGTGCATTTGTCGGAGCTCCTGATACTACAGATACTGGTGCTGACGTCACAGCAGGACCAGTCGGCTTCTGGCTGGCACTTGCCTGCAGGGCTTTTATTTGATTTTCAAGGTTGATAAGTTTTTGTTCTGTTCTTGCCATATCGACCGCCTGTTTGTTGATTTGTTTCTCGATGGCTGTATCCACCTTTGACTGTTCCACGGAACTCCTCTGGAACTGGTAGGTCAAGTTGAAGATTTTATTGTTAATGTCCTGTACTGCCTTCTGAAGAAGGTCTTTTGTGTCAATGACAAGCTGGTTAAGGTTCTGGGAGTTACCACTTGTTGCACCGCCGCCAGATGGTGCCACACTTGCTGCTTGCTTGAGTCTCTGCAACTCGTTGGTAAGGTCATGTACCTTGGATACATAGGTGGCCGTGTCGGACTGAACCTTGGCTAATGTGCTCTGGACAACACTATTTTGGGATATATATTGAAGTCGCGTCTTGTCCAAATCCTGTTTCACCTGGTCGACCTTTTTGTCTAGGCCACTAGATGACATCGAACACGCACCTTTGGTATCTGGAACTGTAAACTCATATTTACAAGAGGAAGCCGTTGTCGGCAGTACTCCTTGAGGTACATACTGTCCTTGAATCCCACCAAGGACCAGGAAAACGGAGACAACCAAAATTCCGTTCATATTGATTCTATGATTAAGGTAGCTGAGACGTCCGTGAGAGTAGAATGACAACTGTTCACTGCTTGGTTTGTCTGGCTCCACCAGGAATTTATAGTCGTCCCAAAAGGCGGGGAAGTTTAGGCCTTATCGCCTCTGTGTCAATACACAGGTGCAGCGTAGCTATTCATTGGTGGACAGGTTTACGGCAAACTCCGGTGTTTGGTCGGCTTTGTTTTTCACAGATAGTGCGATGAGCAAGCATCTTTCTTCATCAGAATTGATAGATTTTTTCTCAAAATTCAAGCGCAAAAACGGTTGTTTGTCCTAATTTGACAGTTTTTCAAGGTGAGAATTAAACTCTCTTTCGATGTAAACCACTCCCCAGCAACTTTCAAGTGTTATTTATTACAAATTAGGTATTAAGGAAGTCAAACTTAAACTGCATCATTCAAATAATGGCTAAAATAGGATCTAGTATGTAAATATCTAGGACATTTCGGCCCAAACTACATTTCGCACATATCTGGATGGCGTAAACAGATCAATAGAGACTAGTCAACAACAATAGACACACGGTAATTAAGTCATCAATGTATCAACAAAACATTGTAATGAACTGTAGGTTGATGTATGTCACCTAATCTTACACAGACGGATGCGTGGTCAGAGCTCAAACCACAGGTTAGATATTCACACGCCAGACATCGCTCCAGTTTTACTAAGGAGTGCTTTAAATCTCACGCTACTAACACAAAGCTATATGAAACAAAGAAAGTTATAGTAAGATACTTTGTAAAGTTTGTATTTTGATAATAAAACGTAACATCGTACATTGGCATAGTTGAAAAAAAAATATGTATTGGTTTAGTAATAAAATAATAAGTTTTGGTAACAATAAACGTTGTTATAATAACAAAATCCATGGTGACAGTATCACAATGCCAAGGTAACTAAATGCATGCTATTCTATTATTCGTTTTAAAAATATAACCCATCATTTCAATTATTTTGAAGTTTGATTAAAGCTGTGTTTATCAATTTTCACCTGTTAGATGGCAATGGCTTGCAATTTATGATACACAAAACTCATAATCTTACCACCTGTCTGCTAAAACAATATTTTTTTCGAGATCTCGCATTTAACGTCCTGTTTTAAAGAATGAAATAACAAAATTAATCAGTTAACATACTGGAATAAAGGACAAAGTAACAAAATACACCGGTAAACGGCCTGTTATAGAGAAAAAGGTAACAAAATACACCGGTAAACCGGTACAGCTTAATATAGAGAACGAAACATGAACACAATACAGTATGGTAGAAAGAACAAAGAGTACACACACTGAAGTTATTACCCCGATATTGTGTTAAGAGAGAAAATAGCATTATATAGTGCTGTAGCACGTTGTTAAACAAACCTTATACAGGGAACATAGTAATGGACTAACAGCCTTGTTGATTGCGACGTATCAAAATTGGCAATATTGTTACATGAACTATGCTATGATACATTTTAGGTATAATCTCCCTAACTATGCGTGCACGAGGAAATCAATTGAAGACCCATTTTCTGGCATTGTTTTAGCTTGAAACCAGATATTTTGTGATTCAGAAGTTATTGGTATTTTGAGATTTAAATAGTCTCATTTATGACGAGAAACGGTAAAAACGTATTGGCATGATGAAATAAACAAATTGCGTTGGGACAATTTGTGGATCACATGAAGTCAGTTATGCTTCACTTCACAATAAATAGCTTGGCTAATTTCATCCTGGTTTATATCATACAACAATGGATATGTGTTGAGCCTCCAGTTAACCTTTACCAACACTCTCAGCGGACACTTACGAAATCGATTTTATAACAAAAAGGTTCAAGCGTTATTTTAACCATGATGATTTAATTTTGAAAAGGACTTCGTGAAATTGGCTAGACTAAATTCCATGAAGTCAGGCTCGTCCATGCAGAATCCAAATTTGGGTTGGCACCAAAATGATGCAAAATCAAACGTGCATAAATGCCTACTCTTTTTTACTTGTTGGTTTAGCGAGCTGGCGTCGCAGTACGGAAGTACATGAAAGGACCACGTCTTCAGACACATTTCCGGTCGATAAAATTACGCAATGTAGCACTTCTAAAAAGGAACGAAACGTACTTGTGGAATTTAATTTCGATCATTTTCACTCAGCTACGGCTCGATAGAACGCACATCAGTTAAAGCCTTTGTACTTTGTTGTCTAAATCGAAAGATTGGTAGCAAGCGACATGCTCGATCGAGGCGTTCAGGTTTATATGAATAGGATATCATTTTATTCACAATTTTGGTTTTTGGAGAATTAATCTAAGGAATTTGAAACATAAAATATGTGCCGGTGAAATGGGTTTTTTCTTTTTTCTTAAACTACAAAACAATAGAATAACAATATAATTAGTTTTCAGATTTCTTCAACGTTCATATCGAAGATATCATTTTTGTGTCTACTAAAATGTTAATTCATGGACTTTAATGGATGACTATAACATTTATCATAGTAACGAGTTTAGAAATATAATGAGTATTTTATTGATTGTTAGAGGTAATTGTTTTACCTGTTTATTCACCAAGTAAAATAAGTAATTTTACTGAACGTAGCATGTCACAGTTTTTTCATAAATTGTAGATGACTTTATGCCCGATTGCAATATCACATATTCAACTGAGACTACTTGTGTCATCCACAAGGTAGCGCAAACACAGCCTTCGACCCCCGGGGTGCAGAGAGCGTACCACTTGTTTTTTCGAGGATGAGTACTGCTGTATTTCACTGTAATTTACCACTGACAGAGACTTCAAAATACAAGCCTTGGTTTGTTAAATGTCTCATCTAACGAAAGGCAAGATAACAGTTTCATAGACGACACATGTTTCTCTTGTCATTTCAAATCTGCTGGTTTTGTTAACAACTTAAATGCGTGTAATAAGATTCAGTTTAAGAACATGAAAAATGAAATCGAAAAATTATACGAGACTAATGTCTGATAGAAATTTCATGGACGAGAATACACATACATGCTATGACATTAATTTGGCTTATGACACAAGTAAACACACATTCAACATAACTTGTACCAAAATGACCTACAAAACACACACACACATCACGTGTACAGTACTTGTGACACCACTGCCCGGCCGGAGCCCAGATGACGGAGAAAGGCTATTCGGGCTGGCCGGGTAGATGATAGCGACATTGTTTGTACCCTGCGTTTGACCAATTAGTCTGATAAGAGGTGGGGAAGTAAATCTGTATCCGTCCCATTCAGGTTTGTTTATGCGAAGCTTTTAACACTTTTAGAATCTTACAATCATCCCAATCTTCCAGATAATTCTATTTTGTGTCAGTTTTATCTGCTACAACGAGTATAGTACGTTAAACCGTCAGTGTTATACCTTAAATAATGCAGGTGTTTATTGGGAATGTCCAGACATACGCTGTATATTCATATATATATATACAGAAAATGTGATGGAATCTTGGTATTGACTGAAACTTTATGTGTATAAAAAAGAATATCACATAACTAATCTGTAAAATATATGTATTTAACAGCAAAATAATACTATATAAATAACGTATGAAGGGTTAATGTTAAAAATAGAGTAAATAAAAATTTATAATAGATATGTTATTATACATAATATATTAGTTCATAATAATGTATAAATCATAGCTCTAAATAATGGAGTATTTCATAAAATAATCATAAAAAATATATGTATTGTATTAAAGGATAATGTATAAAGGATAGCTATAAACAAGAGAGTGGTAGATAAAAATGTATTAAAGATATGTATTCTATTTCATAATATGGTATAAATGATGGGTTAAACAATAGTGTAGTAGGTAAACAATGTAAAAAAGGCCGATACATGTAACTGGTATATTACTACGTAAATACTTTAACCAACAAAAGACAATGTATATAGTCTAGGCGTATTTCGAAACGTAGAATGAGGGATTTAGGATTGAGAAGAGTAGAAGGAAAAGATATTTTGTAGAGTGACCATGATGTTGAAAATATGTTTCATTGGTGTATCACGTGCTAGATCTCACTGTCCAGTACCCTTCAGTTCCAATATCGGCTGACTTGCTCCCAAATGGTTTATTGTTCTACGTTATCTGGTGTCTTGTTCTATTTTACGACATGAAAATTTAGAGATTTATCAGTCCCGATTGAGAATCAGTTATGTCTAATAATAGTCTGCGTTCACGTGGAAACATGTTCTTACGTCAGACATACGTCTCTACACATCCAAACAACCATTGCAATTCTGTAAAACCATAACCTTGGCTTAATGCACTATTTGATAACCAAAAATTACTTTTTGTTTGCATTGTTTATAAGATTAACTTGGATTTTACTTGGTGTTTTCCTTCATCCTTTGTAAGCATCAGCATGTTCTGGTCGCGAGGGAATTGCAGCCAGTAAAGGTATAACTTCCTCCAAACACGAGTACACACCGGGACACAACGGACGTAATGGGCATGGCACAAACTTGGATATTTACGTATGTGTAGAGTGTTTAACTTTTTAATACCAAGATCCAGGTGTTTTTTCTCCGTACATTACAGATGTTAGGCATATTTACCTGTCCTATCCGTGTGCTGTTTGGCGATTCAACCATTCTTGCGGCTCTGACAACGAGCTGTATGGCCACACATGGGGCTTGCTTCATAGTGTTATATATAAAAGCAAAAACATGCTTTTAAGAAGTTTTGTTCGCTTAAACTCAAATCTATATCGTTGACTTTGAAGTGTGCGACAAAAAGGTTCGTATTTTCACCACAGACCAAAACTTCATTCCTTTGTACAACGTTTAAATGAGCGGTTTTGAAGAATCATTCACGCGTTCATATTGAATTCAAATACAATAATGAATAAATAGTTTATTATCATATATGAACAGAAAATTGATATCTGATTTTGTAGATTTTTTTCTTTTAAATGTAATGAACACATTTAATTTTCATTCCGTTTAAGATGAGAAAATTATAGATTGACTGTTTTGAAAAAATGTTTATCAGGTTTTCAAATGTGTGATAGCTGTTATCTAACATAGCGTTATAATTTATACTACTGTTTGTGAAATAACGACATATCCTCCACTGAAATGCTAATTGCACACTGGGAAAGGATTAAATTGTGTTTTTGTCGTTACAATAAATTGATTGCAGCCTAAAATGAATATTTGTTTTGTATTTAAGCTCACAAGGCTATATTTCTGTCTAATACTGAAATGAAATGCTGATACAGGTACATACATACACAAATACTATCATTTTTTCATCTCTGTATTTTTCACGACACACTGATTAAATACTAATTTTTCATCAGTAATTTCCTGTTCTCTTTTAAATCGATTTGGAATTTATTATTTGATAGAATTCTGGTGTATATTTTGTAATAGGACAGAATAATGTAACTAAAGTTGTACAGATGAGACATGGTAGGCCTAATAAGGTAGGATCATGAAAAAGTTGTACAGAATAGGACATGGTCGGCCTAATAAGGTAGGATCATGAAAAAGTTGTACAGAATAGGACAGGATCGGCGTAATACGGTAGGTTAGGGCTAGATTTGTACAGAATAGGACAGGGTTGGAGTAATTAGGTAGGATAGGGCTAGATTTGTACAGAATAGGAGAGTATCGGAGAATTCAAATAAGAACTCGTCTATTTTGTTCACTTTATTTGAAAGTCACAAATGATAGGACAATCTGAAATGCAATAAAGCACATGGTGTATTACATATGTCTATATATTATTCTCTATATCCCAAGTCTTTGTTATGTCTCTACTGAAATAACTATATAAAGTGAAGGACTGATTAGAATGTACATAATTAAAGTTGTTTAAACTGTTCTGTCAAACACTGGAGACTTAGTCACTAAATAGTCTATATATTGAGGATTTTCTGGCACTTATATGGTAGGCATATCATAGTCGCCGGAGTCTTGCCAAGCACATCTTTTTCGGTGCGTGTGGATCCCAAGTGGCAGTCGCTGGGTATTGTATCACTCTCATCCGTCAATGTTGTCCCATCAGAACTCGTCTATTTTTATCACTTTATTTGTAAGTCACAAATGATGGGACAATCTGAAATGCAATAAAGTACAAGTTGTATTACAAATGTCTATATTATTCTCTAGTCATAAGGTATAGGATAGGGCTAGATTTGTACAGAATAGGACAGGATCGGCCTCATAAGGTAGGATAGGGCTAGATATGTATAAAATTGGACAGTTTGGGAGTAATAAGGTAGGATAGGGCTAGATTTGTACAGAATAGGACAGGATCGGCCTTATAAGGTAGGATAGGGCTAGATTTGTGCAGAATATCACATGATCGGATAATAATGTAGGATAGGGCTAGATTTGAATAGAATAGGACAGGAACGGCCTTATAAGGTAGGATAGTAGGGCTAGATTTGTATAGAATTGGACAGTTTGGGAGTAATAAGGTAGGAAAGGGCTAGATTTGTACAGAATAGGACAGGATCGGATAATAATGTAGGATAGGGCTAGATTTGAATAGAATTGGACAGTTTAGGAGTAATAAGGTAGGATAGGGCTAGATTTGTACAGAATATCACAGGATCAAAATAATAAGGTAGGATAGGGCTAGATTTGAGCAGAATAGGACAGGATCGGATAATAATGTAGGATAGGGCTAGATTTGAATAGAATAGGACAAGAACGGCCTTATAAGGTAGGATAGTAGGGCTAGATTTGTATAGAATTGGACAGTTTGGGAGTAATAAGGAAGGATAGGGCTAGATTTGTACAGAATATCACAGGATCAAAATAATAAGGTAGGATAGGGCTAGATTTGTGCAGAATAGGACAGGATCGGATAATAATGTAGGATAGGGCTAGATTTGTATAGAATAAGACAAGATCGGAGTAATAGGGTAGGATAGGGCTAGATTTGTACAGAATAGGACAGGATCGGGTAATAATGTAGGATAGGGCTAGATTTGAATAGAATTGGACAGGAACGGCCTGATAAGGTAGGATAGTAGGGTTAGATTTGTATAGAATATCACAGGATCAAAATAATAAGGTAGGATAGGGCTAGATTTGTGCAGAATAGGACAGGATCGGATAATAATGTAGGATAGGGCTAGATTTGTATAGAATAAGACAAGATCGGAGTAATAGGGTAGGATAGGGCTAGATTTGTACAGAATTGAACAGGAACGGAGTAATAAGGTAGGATAGGGCTAGATGTGTACAAAATAGGACAGGATCGGATTAAATTTGTACCATGATATGTTTGGTTCATTCTTAGCATACCAAACTCAAGGTGAACGTCAGTAGGTATAAAGTTCGAGAGGGTATAAGACTAAAGTTAAGACTGAAGTTGTTTGAGTTATTTCTTTACCTTCCAAGTGCCAACAGGTAGCAATATTTACTGTAGTAGATATCAGTTACATATACACGGTTTTTCGTGTTGCTTTTCATTACAATTGCACATCTGCCTTCATCCTATTGATGTATTCTGTTGACTCGCATGAAAAGGGACACCTGAATAACATGTTGTTATCAGTTGCAAAAATTCCTACGAATCAACAAGATTTCAAAGGCTTCTGACATTTTATACACACACACCGTATAAACGGTTACTCGATCCCTTGATTTTTCGCTCTGCGTCAATGCCCACCCACCATTTTGTTAGACATGGTTTAACAATTATACCTGCTGCCCGTTTGAGCCCATATTTATATTATAACCACTACACAAAACAACTTGCATATTGAACAGCACTGTTAAGTTTAAAGCGTCTTGACATTTAAAATCATTGAATGGAAAATAAGGCCCCATTAAATTCTTTCAAAATGTTTTTTCCCTTCTGTTTGCTTTATGTTCAGTTTCCACAACAGAGAGCACTGTAATAGCCGGGATATTCGACCCGTGGGACACAGATTATGAACTTCATACACGTAAACATACATTGCAGGTATATCATTTTTATCGTGGGAATTATACTTAGGAATCACGATAAATTTTAATCCGGGGAAAGTGTTAATGAATCGAATTTAAGGAGTTGTACCTTTTCGTGATTTAAAGTGTCGTCTGCAAACATGTGAAAGCAGCAGAGTGCATTTAATTGCTTTACATGAAATATGACTACATATTCTGCATATTAAACGTGTCGGTTACTTGTGAACTAGTTTGGGTATTTAAATACTTTTAAAGATTATCGTTACATTTGAGGTAATATTATACAGCAGACGACACCGAGGGCTTCGTTAACACACGAAGAAGAGATGCGGGGCGAAGATGGTGTCTGTCCATGTACTAGTTGCCGAATCGTTTTGGATTAAAGGACAAGCTATCGATTTCAATTTGGAGGAAAACAACGACTTTTAGGAAAACGATCAGAATGACAAACTATGTTAATCACCATAGTGGTCTTGCAGGAAGACAGGTATGGTTTTAACTACGTCATTTATTACCGCCATCGTTTCGTTTTATTGTTGTCTGTATAGGTAGACATTGTGAGCGGCCCATAACAAGTGCTAAACATATTGATCTTCTTTACATTAGTTTTTAGCATGCCCGTCTGTGAACTTGTGCATTGTATAGAAACCAGGGAGTAAAAATATCGATGTGAGGGTATACCTCGTGACAAGAATGGGGAACGTTACTGAGAGCAGACGACACTGTTTCTGTAATCATCCATCTTAGTCACCCTTATTCTCCGTAACACTACTCTCGTATATCCTATGTCTCGCTCAATATCACTCCAGGTCGATTTTTAATGTAAAACTAGCACGTAGACAAAAACCTTAAGCATTGTATAACACAGATTATTTGAAAAGTAGATTTTTATTTTATTTTCATTAAATTATGGTTGAGTTCCATAGACTAAAATTCTGGTGCAAGTAGTACGTTGAGATCGATAGACTAAAATATTGAATATACTAGTTGCATTGATTAATTATTATATTGTTAATATGTACAGTAGCATACTGTGCCTAGTACGTGGATATGACAAGTAATAGTGTAGCAGTAGTACAATCAGAACATATACTTTCATATGTCAGAAGATTCAAACATTTACGTGTACATCACAATACTAATGTCCGACAATTTTAGAAGTTCTAGTGTGCTTGGTTTGTTTAAATCTCTGTTAAAAAATCTCTCTCATACTTTGGTTTTCATCAAAGGTTATTTTCCACGTTTTTTTATATCCTTCTTTCATCAAATGACTGCCGTGTACCAACGTGATCAGTTACGTAATGTGTCAAAAAAATCTGATATATCTCAGATTAAAATGCTTGCCCATTTAGGTTTTTAAATTTCAATTCACACACGTAGCGAATATCAATACTTCATTTAAAACCTGAATACTTTTGAATGCTTTACTTTATAAAACCACTTGATAGAGACGAATGCAGAATATTCGCAATGCATAAATTAGTGGGGTGTTATGGAATTTTTAGAAAATTAAACGTGTATAAAATCGTCAAGTGCATTCTTTTCATGGTGATATTGTCGATACCCCGCAACCACCGGATTATTATAATAAGGTTTTAACCGGATAATCCTTTGTAGTTCAAATTTTATATCTTTTATAAAATACGCCATGCATGTATTATGTAGATTCAAAGATTCATATTGTATTACTATGTATATGCCACTATACTTAATATTGTGTGTCTATTTGCATTCATTACATACTTTAACGATATCACGCCAACTAGAGAATACAATAACGCATCTCCGACGATTAACCAAGCGTGACGCGCCTTCATTCTCCTACTATGAGAGCGTTTTTTTCCCACAGAAAGACGAATGGCGATACAAATATCAAGCTGTAAACTATTTGAAGAAAACCTTTTGAAAACTACGTCAAAGACCAATATGATATATGCTGTGTATTTTTTTTAATAATGGTAGAGGTTTTGGTTGACAACATCTTTCCCAACAGCATTGATATTCAAACTAAATATATCCCTTTGCTGGCCTACTGCATTTATTTAAGAGTATATCACGATTTGTGACAAAGAACTTGTCAAGTCCTTTTATTTCACTTTTGGATATAATGACGATGTACTGTCTTTAAATAATAATGAACAATTTAAGACACTATATAGTCTGCTATATCGGCCGTTGACCTCTATCTTTCCTTACAACATAACCAATAGCGACGGCTTACTACTAAGCTGTTCACTAAGCGTGAAGGTTTAAATGTTCCGATTGCGACCTTTCCCTTTCTTGATAGCACCATCCCGGGTTAGGCATCTGCGATGTTAATATGACGAAGTTGATTCGGCATTCAAGAGCTTGCTCGGAATATCACATTTCCATTGAAGATGTCGAGGGCAGACGAACAAACTAACAAAACATGATTTCGAGCGATGCAGGTTGATAAAGACTACTGCACGGGAAAGTTTTATGGTCGGCATCACGATCTTATTTGGAAAAAAAATCTTCTTATACGAAGGTCGATGTTCTATAGTCTGCTCATTAGTGTGCCTAGTTGTCTCTACCCCGGTTCTCACTTTGAGCCCGTGACATTACTTGGATTTTATCTATGATTACATAGCGGGTGCCTGTGATTAAACAGAAGAAACTTACCCTTCTGAAACATATGGTCTTAATGTTTGTGTTATTCAAGGCTTTTCAAAATTATCATATTTGAGCTAAGAATACGGTTTTGTTTCCTATTTTGATTGGATACGGAATACATTCCTTGCAATGTCATGTACTGAAATACTTGTGTAAATGCACGTGGAATTCATCAACCTGCCTCTCTCAACAACCTAGGTGGCAAGTTTGTCTTTGAAAGGTAGATTGTATAGATATTTACAGGAACGACTCGCAAGTGAAATACATTGAGCTATGGCTTGTGAATATGTTAGTAAACGTCAAACAACAAGCCCACAAGACAAAAGGAAGTAGACAGTGTTTATGTAACACTTCACACCTCTCAGAGTCAATATAGCATGTAACAAACGTTTGGTGCGGAAGCACTGATGTATCACAAAGAGAAGTTTTACGATATCCATAAAGCCAGGCACACGGATGTTGGACATTTCAAAATGGCAACTGTTTCCAAATGTGGAGATGTATTACATGGATCGATACTAGTATTATCTGTTGGTTATGGATCAACACAGAACTTAAATAAAAAAAGTGCTCAATATGCACTTGCATCTTTAATTGAATCCTTGATTATGACAGAATTCGGAATTATTAATCACATTTGATTTAAGGCAATTCAAATTGCCTTTTGTCCACCACTAAGCCCACATCCTCAAAGCATACACTATAGGTTTTTATTTATTAGTACAAACAGTGAAGTACACATTAAGCATGAACTGATATAATATGATGACTTGAAAAGTCACGTCACGTATCTACTTTACCTACACACTTTTAAGTATCAAAGTCCATGAATACGTGTAACTCAAATATGGTCACAAGGAATATGTGGCTGAACTATAAAAAGACTTAGAAGCTTAAGTAAAAAACGAGGACAGTGAAGAGATAAACGGTTCTAAAATATCCAATGACATCCATTTGAAATCATGGGACTTGTCAGCAGATCATTTTGTTTCATTAATTTCTCTGATTAAAAGAATCGAGATTCATGTATTGCAAGAGCCACGCAGTACATCATGTTGTGGAATACAGCAAGCCAAGTATCTTAGGGTGTCCCCAACATGGCAGGCAGGGGGAAATCGCCAACTTCTTACAGCCTAGATCAAATTGGGATACAAAAGCGATATCAATTACACTCGAAATATAACGGATTGTTTACTGAAAAATACCAACAGACATATAAAACTAAATAATTACTATTGGTGACATACGAATAACATTACTCACAAATACAAATTAACTGTTGTACAGTGTTAAACTGAGATGTGTACAGCAGCAGCATGACGCTGGGTATGTATAGTAAGTACAAATTGATGCATGCAATTAAAATACTATTATGTCTACTTGTCCGTGGATACTATATATTACTAATGGATAGATACATATGTATGCATGCACATGTACATAGATGGGGAAAAGCCCTCCCGTGTGAGGCTATTTTTTGTAATTTTTGTGTGAATCCAGGGGCTCCAAACCCTGGCATCCCCCCAGAAAGATGTTATGCGAGTAAACAAATAATTTAAGCTGAAATTTAACTCCATACATGTAATTAGTCCCCCACTGGTCCTGTCTGAGGTAAGTATAGGTTTGCACTCCGTCCGTGCTTAACTTCGTCCAGGATATATATCAAATGCCCAGTTCTATGCTGCCGATAAAATCAGCTTTTATGTCCTTGTTTATACAGCGTCATGTCCTTTTGGTGTTTATTATTTACATAGATATATGTGTAGAGGTTGAAGACTGTTGATTGCTCGTAATTCTTTGCCTTGTTTAAAATAAGTGCAGACAAAAATATAAAATGAATACCGCAGAGTCGATATAACTAGGGCAAAATTTGAACAAGGGAAAAAATACAAAGAGACGACTGGAAAGTACAGGGAGAAAGGAGTAGTTGTTCAAGAAGGAAAGGCGTCTTATACTTCATCAACGACATCTGCCATGTAATTATATGCCAAATCCAAGTAATGGCATGCCTCTTAGCGAGAACTTTGGTAGTAACAATGGGTAGTAAAACAATTTACTCCCCTTTGTTAATACATTAATCACTTATGATCACAATCAACAACATCAATCTGCATATCGCAAAAAACATATTTCCCAGTGAGATCACGATAGTGACCAAAACAATTGTCCATGGTCTTCATCAATCTGCATATTTCGAAAACATATGCTGTAAGGTTGTCCGTCATCAGTCGGCATCTATCACGGAAGTCATTTATCAATCTAGGTTAGCAATATTGACCGAGGACGCAAGCTCTTGAAAACCAAATAAACTGCGACACTTAAAGGCTGTGAAAGCTTGGATGTTACTAACAAGAAAGGGAAGTTCACGATAGGAAAATCGTCCTATCAATTATACAACTAAGTATTAAGCCGTCCCTGTGTGTCATGTTGTAAGTGAACATCGAGGAAAGCGGCTGAAATACATGAGTCTGTAGTGTCCTTGAATTGAGGCCGAGGAGGATAAATACTATCGACGTAGTCAATAAATGTCTGGTATCAATAAATTTAGCCTCATATGGAAACAACAACAAGTGGGACAGGAGAAGGGCTTATTTAGTTCCCATAGGAACGCCTACAGTCTGCTGTAAAATCTTACCATCAAACTCAACAAATATATTGTCAATTTGGAACTCAATCATTCTCACAATTTCATCCAGTGTATTTTTGTTTTGGCTTTTGTTGTGCATTTCACAAAATATGCTCCAAAATAATTTACGACCATAGGTTTATATCTCAGTTTGCCTTTGTTGTGTTCGGTTCTTAGACAGAGGTTTGTGAGAGGTTAAGCCAGGCACCATCCTTTTTAATGCTCAT